CGCAACCCGTCTATGTGTCTGGCAATCTCAAACCTCCCCTTTCCGTGGGGTTTCAGTATACAGCTATAATCACTCAACACGTCTATGTGTCCGGCAATCTCCTACATCACTCAACCTGTGAGGTTTCCGTAAGCAATCCTCACTCCACGCATCCATGCGTCACGCGTCTTTGGTAGCGCATACTATGGGGGCTATATTTGGGGTGGCGTGTTTTACAGCGCTTTGCCAACAGCGCCAACCCACTGAAGTCTAGATTGCGGGGGGGGGGGGGGGGGGGATTTATTCGCGACGGTCCCACGGCGGCCAAAGCCTTCGCCTGGACGAACCTTGTCCACTGCAGAGCCTTTTCGCCGTACCACGGCTGCTGCGGGCTCTTTCCGACGCTCCATGAGCAGGGCTACTTGCTCAAGAGCTGCGGCACTAAATCCTTTCCCAAACACCTGGTGCAGACACGGAAAGAGGCGCTGTTGAGCCCCGACAACCTTGACCCGGAACTTCCACTCCATTTGTCAATGGACAAAAGAAACAGCGGAGAGGTAAATGCCTCCCACCGAAGTGCTCGGTTAGGACGTGCCATTTTCTTTCCTAACCTTCTGCACTAGTGATGGGTGCGTGAGGGCTATGTGTGTGGTATATTTTGCTTTCTTGCCGATTGTTTCGTTGCTTCCGAATGGATGTGAGTGTTTCATTGTATAGCCAACAAATTTTGTCTGGTTTTCGGAAGATGGCGCTCGTCTCAAGGTTATGCTTAATTTTCGAAAGCACGGGATGCCTCGATTCCGCACTGTGGCGACAGGCGCTGACACAAAAACCTTGCTGAAAACACAGGGTAACTTGAGGCTTCTTTTTTGGCTAGATGTACACCCCACATACAGTACTTGTACACCGTCCGGGTGCCGCAATAAACACCTGTTTCGACGAAGGGCGTTGCCCTCGCTCACCTCGGTCTGTCGAAGGAAAGAAACCTTCACTTCCGTCTCGTGCTTCGCCTCCTCGCGCTCGAGCTCCCGCAAAAATCGGCGGCTCACCTTGCCGATGCACGACCCCTGTCGAGCGTCTAGCTTCCACCGTGTCGTCCCAGTAACTCTCTCGGCCGCGGCCGGAACGACTTCGGGGCTTACCGCTTTGTCGGGGTCTCTCTCCGGGCCGATCACCTTGACGCGGTGTAGCAACAGATAGCAGTCGAGGGATTGCCCCGGCAGCAAGAGGGGGGTCTCTCTCCCTTCGTTTGTAGAGAAGTCGACTTCCGACGCGTTGATCTCAGAGGGTTTTGTTGCCTTGAGGACGGAAAAAATCCCTCCGCCAGGGGTGCTCTCGATGTCACTGCCACCACCACCACCGTGGTCGGACGTCAAGCCGCCGTCTTTCCTCGGCGCCACAGGGCTCCAGGTAGACCCGGCGGTGCTGCTGCTCTTGTCGCCCGGTGAGCGGGCTGTACCAGGGATTTGGACCCCGTAAACAGCTGGATGGTGAACTCCTCCGGCGGTCCCCTTTTCAGCGTTGCTTTCGTGCGCCTCCAGCCTTGCAGAATGCTCGCAGCGGTCCTGCCGCAGTTGCGCCTCAGATGCGGTGAGCTCAACGCCGAGCGTGTGCTTCAGACTATTGCTCGTGCCGGCGTAGCGTAGCGGGGTAGGATTCTGGAGCGATGCCGATAAGCGGTTTGGGATGATTTTCACCGGTGCGAGGCTGCCGCTGACAAGGAAGTAGCTGAAGGAGGGGTCGTTACAAGCCCAGCAGGCGTCATATCCCTCATGGGCGAAGGTGACGGACATGTTGCGAGCGAGGCCCTCAAGTTTCCATTCAGGAACGTTCTGTTCCAGTCAGAAACAGGCGTAGTAGGTAAAGTTGACCCACAGGGGAAGGGGGGCGTATCTTATGCACTATTATATAATACAATAGTCTATACAACATGATGATCATCATGTTGCAGCGGTTAGGACGTTTGGTTTCCTCTCTCGTGACACGTGCACGTACCAGGCATGTACTGAGAGTAATAAAATTGTTCGAGTTGGTTGAATCTGAGACGAACCTGAAGGTAGGGTATTCTCCGGAGACGTGAAGTCAGCCACGACACCTCGTGCGCCGGCCGATGTTCTGCCAGCCTAGAACAGACGCTTGCCAGGCGTTTTTCTGTCACTGTGCGTGGCGCGCGACATCTGCCAGCACACAAAGTGGGGCACGGTGTGATGTTGTAGGCTATACTTGTACAAGTACAAAGATTGTGGCTTGGATGGAAATGATCTACAGCAATATTTTTGTCGACGTCTGTCTACATCTAAAGATTGCGTGACGTAGAGTCTCTCTTTCCGTCCTTCATAATCTTATCCTCGGGCAAACACGAAGAACACCATCCGAGTTGTGTGCCTGCGCGCCTGTCCCGCTCGCCGTGCTCGTCGAATCAGCGCGTCTACGTGCTTCGATACGCCAGAAGATCATCGCCACTGCCATTGCAACTCAATCGAGGTACAAGTATGCAATTTGTTTTACTCTGCGTATGATTCCGTTTGGACAAGTAACCTGTGGAGTTGCGTATGCACGAAGGGTTGGCCGTGTTTCTTGCTTCGTGTACAGGTGAAGGTGTGTGCCGTCCGAAGCAACTATGGTGATAAAAATGCGCACCACGTTGGCTTCCGCCGGCGAACGCGCGAAAACACATCTGATTTGACTTCCTGCTAAGGGTGCCACATGTTGTGCGCGTCGGTATGACGGTCAAGTCGATGGGCAAAGTGTCCGATAGGTGTTCATGATGCTGTCCACCAGTATACCTCTGCTGTGTCGAGCGACTGCAAAGGGTGGCCGTCTTCACGTCCCTTGGCCCGAGCCTCACGTCCACAGGGAGCGGGTCGTTGCCGTCTGTCATGCTAGTTTGACTGTCTAGGGCTCCCGAGATGAGTCCCGTGATGGGCTGTTAGACCATCAACCGATGCTCTGCTTTGCGTACGCGCGGGACTGTCCACAGCCGTTTCAGACAGCCGGCCAACAGGAGCAACGCCCCTTGAACTTCTATATAGACCCCTTAGTTCCAGTTTGCGCCCCCCCCCCGCTGGTGCGGAGTGCCCTTGCCACCCGTTCTGGCGTGTGCTTGGATCACCTAGCTTTTAAGAATGGCATGCGAAGCACGTATCATTCGCGCGTTGCGCACGATGGAGTACCCGGGGTTGGATCACATCTCAGGATCGGCAGCAACAGGTCGGAGTTTGGTCGCGCAGCCTCATGAGCTCGCCAAGATCGTCGGTTGGATAGAGGACAGAAAGGTGTGTGCGGCGGGCTTTGGAACGGAGAAGGAAGAAGGACTGGAGGATCTACCTGTTGCTGGTATTTTGCACCAGAGCTTCCTCGCGTAGGTAGCCATTCACGTTCAAGGTCGGGTAACGGATGACCAGAGGTTATTTTTGTCATTGCCCATACACCCCTTCGCGCAGGGGCGTGCACTACTTACTGCCCTGTACAACGTCTTGACAGCTGCTGATTATATTGCTATCGAACACCATTCGTATGGGGTTGGTGTACATTATAAGAGCACCACACCAAATAAATGGGACATTCACGAACGAAGAGAGAAAATGTTATAACCCCGGCTGTGTGACCGAGCCATGGTTGCTTCTGTCGCCCCGCGATGGCCTACACCATCTATCCGAGATAAACTCTCCGCATAAATATAGGAGGCGGCCGCGTGTGCCTGCACCACGATATCCCCTCCCCCGCCCCCTTTGCTCGGGCTGTTACATCTGTTGATGTGTGTGGTATTGTTTAGATCCGAGGCCTCACCATCTCCGACCGTGAGCCCCTGCGCACCCCCGGGCCAAAATGGGAAGAGGCGTTTTTTAGCTACTTGCAGGAGATGGGCTGCCCCAACGATTTCAAGGCAACCGGGGGAGGCGGAGGAGAACCAAGTGGTGCCGCCGTCCTGCGTGGAGTATCGTGGTTGGTTACCGAGGCCGTGGCCTATGATTTCGAGGACAACGGGAAGGAATACAAGGCTGCTGCTAGAGAGGTACGAGCGTTCCTTTGCGATAGATCTTTGCTTCGGTCTGCAACAGGCGGCGATTGGTGTCAACAGATCAGTGAATAAATTCAATACACGGCTGTTCGCAACATGTTGCCCTTCGTGTCGATGTGTACATTCGTGGTGTGGAATGGCAACTCACGAAAGCCGTGGCGTGGCTTCGAAAGGGGGCGTATCACGGCACATGTACCACGCATGTACAGGTTAGGTTACTGCTAGTTCTTGTTTTGACCAAGTTCCAGAAAATTGTCTACCGACCTGTGTGTGGAGATATTTTTTTCTATGCCACAATGCCAATCTATTCTCCCTGAGACTTGTTATCGCCCTCTTTACTGATCATCAATCAATCTCACTCTCCCCCGTTATCCTCACCGACACACGACGGTTACATGTAAAATCTCCTCTACAAACACCAAATTCTGCAGTTGTTGTTGGCGAAAACGCGGTTTTCTCCACAAGCCATGGGAGGGGCAAGAGGGGGCAGCAGCAGCGACCCTAGCTCGGTGCAGCCAGAACCGGCGCAGCAAACCATCAGTACTGCCGGCGATGCCATGGACATTGGTTCTGGAGAAGAACACCGAACATTTCGAGAGCAGCTCAGGGGGTTCACGGCTGGGGTAGAAACTGGGGACGAGGCTTGCGACAGCGTGGCGACGGTGCTTCGGATGCTCTACTTGTCGGACTTGAGGAGCCTGCAGAACGAGGTCAACGGTGTCATAGACTTGGCGCAATCCACTAGACGAGAACAGAAAACAGCAGTGTGACGACAACGAATGTTGCTGTTGATAACGAAACCCTCCTCCGTAGAAGGGTGCTTTGAACGTGGGGTGTGACGAGAGGTAGTCATTTTGGGTTTGGTCTTCGATCTGCCGCAACGTGGACACCAGTTGTTGGCGCTTGTCCGAGTGAAGAGAGTCGTGCAAGTATTTGAATCCACCCGTGCCCTCGGTGAGCGGGAGGGGAGCTCGCGGCTGCGCTACTCGACTCGTAGAACCCCAGCCGTCAGGCAAAGAGCAGTGGCCAAAATGGGGTTCACCCGATCCGAACACGGCCATTATCGGGTACCATTATTAGCGCGGCAGCTGGTAGCGCCCTCCTGGCGCCATATGATTGGCCGACGCCCGCCCTTACCAGGCCCCGACCCTGTTCCTGCCGGGCGCATCCAAGTTTGGCTTCTCACCTCCCAGAGGGGTGCCCGATTTTATACTCTCTCTCCCCTACCCGAAAATGGCTTTGGGCTCTTCGACCAACAGTCCACTAGCAGACCACGCTCACGAACACACTTCAGCGACGCCCGCACTCGAATTCCGACGCTTCAGACGGCGGGCGGAGGCGGACCCGCCGGCGGCGGAATTCTCTCTTGGCTACCTCACCTCCTACAGCGGCTGCACGGACACGCTCCGCATCCCACCAACACACATCAACAAACGAGATTCTACTGTCATCTGACCCCCAAGACCCTCTGGCAGAGCAAACAGCAATACTGCTGTGTGACGAGTATTCTGTGGGTGTTTGCCTTACTCATGAACCGGCAATTAACTTCTGATTTCACTGTTTTTTTTTTTGCTCACACAACGTGCTAATACAACTACTTCGAAGTACGATAATGTGCGCTGGCTGCTTTCCTCGCCCCCCGTATACTCAACACCGATTCTCACCATGACAACTGACTGAACATACGGAGACCAACGACTTCCGACCAGCGACCTCTTGCACATGGGAGAGACGCGGGGAAGAGAGAGACAGTCTGACAAGCTGTTTGGTGGTATTTTTCCGTCTTCATATAATATGCTGCGTTCGACACCCACTCTCCTCCCCCCCGTAACCCCTCGTTTCTGTTAGTCTGCGTAGTAGGGTATTGCTTTTGCTAGCTCCTACTTTCTCGTTATGACGTTCTTTGTCTAGTGTTGTTTAGTAAGGAGGACGGACCCGATTTATTCGCAGGGTATCCATCCAACCGTCGTTGACACTTTTTTACCCGAATCTATATACCTTGTTCGCAGCGTGGCCCAGATTGAGCTACAGCAGTGGCCACTCTTTCCTTGCTTTTCGTGGAAAAGTAAACCTTTCTGTCTTGCCTTTGTTTTTCTTAAATACTATATAGACTATATTCATACTCTCTCTCCTCCGGCCGTCGTATCACTTTTGTTTCATTCATTTTCATTGTGCGTCTCCGCTCTTCGAACAAGAATGATATGATAAACGAAACTGTCTTCTTCGTTCCTCTCATTTCAAAACTCCGCAGCAGCAGTGGCAAGTGTAAGAAATAATATGTAGGGCAGTTTCGTCGTGATTAGACAAGCGAGAGTGGGGATGACGTAGCAGTGGAGACGACGTCGGCAGCAGCAGCAAAGTAGCAGCAAGGAGAGTGCACACCGCAGCTGCTCCTGTGAGTGAGGCGAAAGGGCAATTTGCCAGAGTCCACCGCGAGGTAGGCAAAGGTCAGGGGTGGGCCTCGGTTAGGTGTTTCAGCGGAAAACCTCTGCAGATTCATGAGCATAACAAACGAACGCCTCCGTACGAGAGCGTTTTGCGGCGACCACAAGCGGTAAGCCGCGAAGCTCCCTTCCTTCCTTGAAATTAATATCCAGACCACACCTGCTGCCCAGATTAATTCATACTGATATTATTCCCGGTATTCCGACGCAAGGCAGGTACCGTGCATATTATTGTGGGATTTCCGTGTGGATCCCGGCAGGTGGTGGAAAGGCTGACACCGACAGGCGTTATACAGCAGTCTGTCCAGCTAGCTCGCAGGTAGCAGGTGATGCTACTGCTGTAGACTTGTTGATGTTGACTGGGCGCTTGCGGCCATCAAAGACTTGATGAGAACGATAGACTTTGGCAGTCTAGACTAGGGAAGAAGACAGGAGAGAAAGCAGAGTGAGAGAAAAGGGGGCGAGCTTGGCTGCATGTACCTCTTCTCTTTCTAGAATAGTCTAATGTGTGTATATTTGTTTCTCCTAATAATATCAGACACATCGCATATATTATGCTCTAGATTGGTTCTAGAGGTTGTTCTGGAAACTGAAAGACCGATCCACAAACGTTCCGGGATCCGCGATACTGTTCCAGGAACCAAAGGGGTCCTACGTGCTCCCTACGTGGTTTCCTTGTACCAACTACTTAACTACTGCTCTTGGGAATGTTCCTGAAGACGTGGTGTAACCGTTCAGATCTCCACTATGATGTAACCGTTCAGATCTCCACGGCTATGCTACTACTACTACTGAACATCATCGTTCCCGGTATTCCGCCGTATGGCAGGTACTACTGTTGCGGTACGCATATTTGCATGTACAATGGTTAGTGGCAGCAGTACACGCGTACCCTCTTTTGCTCCCTTTCCCTGACTCAGCGTTGCCGGGGGAGTGAGCGATAGGGAACGATTGAGAGAGAGACAGGAAGGATAAAAGGAAGGAATCGGACTGAAGCGAAGCGACTCCAGCCTGTACACCGTGAGTGGTCGAACCACATGCTGTAGCTCCACACAATCTCGTCGCAAACTCGTAATAGTGTGAAACGAGAGGGGTTACGAGAGGGGAAGTTCAAGTGTGTCAAAAAAGATACTCAGAAGAAGAGTACAAGGAAGAAACACACCGTCAACACTTCTCTCAATACCCCCTCTCCCATCATGCGCTACCCACCGCCCCCTCAGCGAGAGACTTACAGCTGAGTAAGTTTCGCTTCTAGGGTTGAGGGTGGGTGTGGTCTTCGTATGTAAGTACAGCCATCGGTGATAATTGAGGTTGATTGAGTAGGAGGCAGGCGAGGAAAGCAGCGCAAACAAATCACACGTTGTGTGCGAAAAGGAGCAGAGTAAAAAAAGCTACCGTATAGATCTACAAAACAAACTGCTGTGTGGACCGTCGTTGGTTGTTGTTGTCGTCGTCTCTTTTCAAGAACGCGCTGTTCGTTGTTCAGCCTCCGGCTCTTTCGCGAGGAGGGAAACCAAGGCACACGAGATGCTGCGCGCCGTGTCTCGCGCCCAGCGCGGACGCGACCGTGGCGCAGTGAGCGCGAAGAGGTGGCGGCGCAACCGGCTGCGGTAATCAAAACAAAGGTCAAATCGGTTTTTGGAGAGCGCTGCTGCCGTGCTGTGCTGTGCCGTGGAGGTATTGTTGTTGTTGTTGTTGTTGTTGACTTCACATTAAACCGTATGCCAGTTGCTAAATGCCAAAATCTAGCAAAGACTCTCGGCCCGTGGTCACGAAAGTAAGTGCTGGAGCCATCTGAGGATCTAAAGAACACGCACACGTAGCAAGAAAAAGGTGTACAAGAGCCCGAAGAGGTACTACTACACCTATATATAATCCCTGCAGCACCGTACGCGTGCCCAAAACTGAACTACACGTCCGTCTCACCGTTCGACTACAGCAACATCACCCCCTACTTGTCCCACTCTGTACCAAAACGAATGATTGCCGACTACAGCATACTTGCTGTCTGAAGTGCTGTCTGTACAAAAACACCATGGTAGGCATGGAACAAGAAGCTGG